AAAACGGTGTGACAGAAAAATCCCGAATGACTAGGTCGGTCCGCATCATTAGCTGCTGGTTTCCCTGGTAGACGTCAGAATTTCAGGTTCTAGATAGGATCTGAGAGCCGAATCGATAGTGTTAGTCGGATGCAGCATCTAACAACTAACTTCTAAAACCCCAGACACTTGTCGCACTGCCTGCTGCTAAACTGAGCGAGAGACCACAGACAGAACATTATGCGCGCGAGTGGTGTGCGGCGGTCTATCCCTTAGTGCTGACGTGTCAGAAGCAAAAAGGAACCAAGGTAGACAGAAAAAACTACAGCCTCGAGCCTGGCACCCCATTAATTGGGGACTGTTAGGAAGTTCCCTAATTTCCTCAGCGTCCAGATCCGAGTCAGATTTTCAAGAGGCAATACTTCCATAAGTAAGGGCAAACTGTGCCGCCTCAAATGCGGTTTTGGACATGCCCAAGATCGGAGAATGGAACATTCTGCTATAGCTGGACATTCCCGTAGGCATGAAAGGCTGATAATAGGACTGTAGCTATCACACACACACGACAGTATGCCGTTGTCGGAGGGGTTGAGAACATTTCCAGACGTAATTCATGAATTTTCAGCGCCTTTCAAAAGAGCACCTTCGTCGGCTGTGTTCTGGGCTGAACCAAAATCAAGAAAAAGGATAAATTTGCATCGTTGAAAGTTTATGCCAGGATTCGCTACGATGTGAATGGCAAGTGGAGTCTTGGCCAAGATGAAAACCGTCCTATTTAACCCAACCACGAACCCCTAGAGGAGTGAAAATGGCTCAGGAAGAAACCTGCAAAAATCCCAAGGCACAAAATCGACGGGGCAGATGCCGCTGTAACTGTGGACTCCTGCCTTCTTCCAATATATGATCTCAGAACTACTTCTGTAGACGTCCGATGGCACTACTTCCTCATCCACTGCTCCTTTGTGTTAAAGAGGTCGGATAGCTACCTCAACTTGAAATGTGAAATGAGGTCGTAAAGCGCGTTATGTGACTACTCGATTTCTGTATACTTAGGGAGTGGAGAGGGGGGTAGCTGACGTGACGGAAATACCTGATCTAATGATGACGAACGCATGGCTACGCATTCTTTCCCGCATTCTGG